AAGAAAAACTAAGCAAAGCAAAGTCTTTGGTTACATCTAGAATCCAGACTGAACTCATAACGGTCAATGAAATACTATACATTGTGTGTTATTGCTTATATTCCAGCTACCATTGTATTAAATGAGCTGAACTGGACTGAAGCATTGGAGGATGTCTTTAAGAAAAACCGAGAAGAGGATCCAACGCTACTATGGCAAGTGTTCGGCAGCGCTACTGGATTAGCTCGCTATTACCCAGGTAAGTGCTTGTAGTGTCTGTTTAATTCTGAACTCACACATTTCAGTGCACGTTACAATCAGAATCACATGCACACACAGACAGAGATACACATCCTCCCCCTCCCTTTGCAAGACTCCGCTGGCTCTAATTGGTAAACATAGCATGCAGTCCCAGCTCAAATTACACCAAATTTTCATAACAAATTATAATATCAAATATCTCAGCAGCTCAGCAGAGAGCTTATTGTATTCTTCTGAGATTCAGTGATGACAGAGGAGAAAAGTAATTAGGTGCTCAATTCATTTTCATTACTTTCAGATTTGTAATTGGTAAGGCTTTACTAAAAAACGTTGCATATAAATAGTGTATTAGCCACCGTTGAACCTCTGTCCCCTAAGAGTTTGCATTTCTGAAATGAATATGTGTTGTTTGTAGAGGAATAATTCTCCAATAATTATGTCAGCCTCGTGTTTTTGCCAAACCCGTATGACTTTTGTTTCTTCTGCAGAATGCAAAAGCTGAATTTTGAAGAATATCCTGGTTATTCTTTTTCATATAATGAAAGTGAGTAAAGACAGGGGAAAAAGTGAAAGTGACAAAAAAAAACCCCACTTAAGCTTGCATCATCACAATTTTTTGATTATTATTTATTTATTTTTAATGTATGCAATGTTTCTTTTAATTGACCTTCCTTAGGATGACGGTATAGCAGAGTGCTGGGTTTTTATTGGACTTTTATTTGACACGTGATTCAAGTTTTTTCTATTTCAATAGTTTCACTGAAAAATGATTTGCATATTAGTCTGTTCCTCTATTTCAGACTCTAAATACAGTGCACAAGTTATATGAACCACTTTTATGATTCTTTCATGATTACTTTTTTGTCATTGTGATGCTTAAAGGCCTCAGTCCTCATTCACTTTTATTATATTGAGAGGAGAGCCTGGTTTAGTCTTCAGAAATGTATCATTTGTATTCCATGGAAGAAAAAAGTCATATGGGTTTGGAACGACATGTGTGATTTCTCATTTTTGGGTGAACTATTCCTTTAAGACTGTAATATAATAAGATGTGGACTCCCAACTATCGATTGTCTCTTTATAGATACATATACGCCTACAAAATATTGATGTTCTTGTAAACTTCAATTAATTATAGCTGGCAGAACACTGGTCGATTACTTTGTTACGGCCAAATCGCAGTGTCTCAGACTATCTGTCGGCACTTACAGCTGCAATCCACTCACTAAATGTCAGAACGTGGGATGCCATTTATGAAGAAACACGTCTTGTTAGATGTTCAGCTGTGATAGTCACAGACGAGCACACTCATTTGCACCAGGTTATTTTCTCTGTTAAAGAGAAAAATCGAAGCTGAAATTGTACTGGGGCCACCAAAGCCCTTTTTTCCCCCACATGTCAGCTCACTGCAGTCAATATGAACCACAAACCACCCCCCACTGGACACAGAAACAGGTTTCTAGCGAGGCTCTCAGATGTGCTCACGACAGAGATGTGACAAATCAAATGGATTTTGGGATCAGGGGTCACTCATATTTCCATATCCTGTCTCTGTCCATTCAGCTTCCCCTTGGATGGATGCCAGGAAAACACCCAGCAAAATCGACCTGTATGATGTGCGCCGGCGACCTTGGTACTAATATGTGTTTCTGTGTGTGCGCTCTGAATTCTTTTCATTTGTTCCCTTTATTCTTGAACCTTCTATTCTTTAGAAGGTTCTATTCTCTCAGTTTAAAATTCTCCTTGAAAGAGATCCAGTATATTTCTTTCTTTGTATCCAGGTATGTTCAAGGTGCCGCTTCGCCCAAGGACATGCTGATTCTTGTTGATGCGTGAGTATTATGTGTATGTGCTTTTTAAATTATATTATAAATATTTTTTTTGCGTCAATTTGCATTTAGTCTTACATGCTCTATCTATCTATCTATCTATCTATCTACGTTATTCCATCTGTCTCTCTGTCGTTATAGTCTATTTGTCTGTCCATCCATCCATATATAGATGATATAATAAAAAATTAAAACAATTCTGTCCTCATTTTACTCAGCCTCTTGTTGTTAAATGATGACAGTTTTTTCATTTTTGTGTGAACTTTATTTTTAACTGCCATTGTGTTTGTATTGGTGTGTTGCAGGAGTGGAAGTGTGTCTGGGCTGACCCTTAAATTGATCCGAACCTCTGTCAGTGAAATGCTGGAGACACTTTCTGATGATGATTATGTCAATGTTGTCCATGTAAGTAAGATCACATGGCATGTGTGCACACTGTTTACAAAGTAACATTGTAACAAGTAACATTGCATTTTCTCATTCTGTTTTTTCACATTTCCATACTTTTCTGAGCAATTCTGGAACATTGTTTTGCAGCAGTACGTTTTTCTATGACGTGCCGCTTTTGTTGTAATATTCCTCATTTGTAATTCGCCTTAGATAGCGCCCATTTAGCATCTGCTAAATGAGCAGCCTACATGTGAATAGCGATAATGGTAGAAACATTTTGGAGTCTCGTCACATTGAACAAGCAGAGTTCTGTTGACAAAGGTGTTGTTTTCTTTATAGTTGTTAAAGGAATAGTTCACTCAAAAATAAAATGTACTATCTTAGGTCATCCAAGATGTAGATGAGTTTGTTTCTTTAGCAGAACAGATTTGGAGAAATTTAGCATTACATCACTTGCTCACCAATGGATCCTCTGCAGTGAATGGGTGCCGTCAGAATGAGAGTCCAAAAAAAGCTGATAAAAACATCACAATAATCCACAAGCAATCCACAAACTCCAGTCCATCAATTAACATCTTGTGAAGGGAAAAGCTGTGTGTTTGTACTAAATAAGTCTGCCATTAAGATGTTTTTAACTTTAAACTGTTGCTTCCGGCTAAAATTTGAATCCACTGTCCATAATATTGCTTTCTCCATTGACAAATTTACTCATCTGAATCAGGAGAGAAATATGCACAAATCAAGCATACACAAGACATTAATTGGTGGACTGGAGACATGTGTTTTCCTTGTGGATTATCGTAATGTTTTTATCAGCTGTTTTTACTCTAATTTTGACGGCACCCATTCACTGCAGAAGATTCAAAGGTGATGTAATGCAAATTTTCTCCAAATCTGTTCCGATGAAGAAACAAACTCATCTACATCATGGATAGTCTGAGGGTAAGTACATTTTCAGCAAATGTAATTTTTTGGTGGACTATCATTTGATCACCCTCATGTCATTCAAAACCTATGTGAAGTTCGTTCTTCCAAGAAATATGCAGTTCTTTTAAATTGTAATAATATTTCACAATATTACTGTTTTTCTGTAGTGTTCACAGTATTATTTTAGTATCATTGCGATATTGTTTGTTTTTAAAATTGTTTTGAATCAGTTTTTATTGTATGTCTATATAGTTTTTATTTCTTTTTCAGTTTTAGTTATTTAAGTATTTTGAGTTAAACATGAGACATTGCCTTGGCAACTGGCTGAAATAAAAAAAATATATATTTTAGTTTAGTTTAGTTTAGGTAACATTTGTTTTATTTCAGTTAACTTTTTTTTTATTCAGAGTAATGATTTTTTTTAATGGTTTTCATTTTAGTTAACTTCAGTAACCCTGATTGTTCATCTAATAAATGTAGCCTTGATGAGCATAAGAGACAGAAAGAAAGAAACAAATATTTATTGCAAACTTTTGACTGGTAGTACATATACCACTTTTACAAACAAATTTACCAAATTATCTGTTCAGATATAAGTAAGCTAGATAAGCTATGATGTGCTATGGTGCATATAAAAATAAGAACTGACCATAGGAAAAAAAAAAAAACATTTGTTGATCACAGAGTTCTGTTGACAAAGGTGTTGTTTTCTTTATAGTTGTTAAAGGAATAGTTCACTCAAAAATAAAATGTACTATCTTAGGTCATCCAAGATGTAGATGAGTTTGTTTCTTTAGCAGAACAGATTTGGAGAAATTTAGCATTACATCACTTGCTCACCAATGGATCCTCTGCAGTGAATGGGTGCCGTCAGAATGAGAGTCCAAAAAAAGCTGATAAAAACATCACAATAATCCACAAGCAATCCACAAACTCCAGTCCATCAATTAACATCTTGTGAAGGGAAAAGCTGTGTGTTTGTACTAAATAAGTCTGCCATTAAGATGTTTTTAACTTTAAACTGTTGCTTCCGGCTAAAATTTGAATCCACTGTCCATAATATTGCTTTCTCCATTGACAAATTTACTCATCTGAATCAGGAGAGAAATATGCACAAATCAAGCATACACAAGACATTAATTGGTGGATTGGAGACATGTGTTTTCCTTGTGGATTATCGTAATGTTTTTATCAGCTGTTTTTACTCTAATTTTGACGGCACCCATTCACTGCAGAAGATTCAAAGGTGATGTAATGCAAATTTTCTCCAAATCTGTTCCGATGAAGAAACAAACTCATCTACATCATGGATAGTCTGAGGGTAAGTACATTTTCAGCAAATGTAATTTTTTGGTGGACTATCATTTGATCACCCTCATGTCATTCAAAACCTATGTGAAGTTCGTTCTTCCAAGAAATATGCATTTCAGTTGATCTGTTAGTATCCAAAAAGTGTAGCTTCACTGCATTAGCAACTTTGTGGATCTAATAAAAGTTGTTTTTCACTCCTCGAAGTTTGGAGGACTAAATTCGGTTGCCGAAAGTGCTTGACACTTTCATAAAAAAGAAAAATGTGTGTGTAAATAACAAACTGTGTGTGAACAGAATGGGATTAATCGCTCAGAAAAGTGTGACAAGCGTATTTAGCTGCAGCTGTACAATAAAAATGGAACACGACATTGTTACTTTGAATTCAATTTAAAGTGAGGAGTTTCTAGAGTTTGTGGGTTGCAGGTTGCTGTGTGATGCAACAAGAGTATGTGTGTGTGAGACAGAGAAAGAGAGAGAGAGACAGAGGAGTTGTAATGAAATATGGATTTGGCTGCAGCTTGCCACTTGAAAACAGGCGCTTAATGAAAAGGCTGCTTGTGGGCTCTGTGTGCTGAATTGAAAATGGCTGGACAAAGTGAGGGGAAGAGATCAGGCTGAGTGAGAAAGAGAAGGCCAAAGAAAGAGGGAGGAAATTGCTATATATCATTCGTCTTGGAAGGAGCCTCCAATCCATCTTGGCTAGCTGATCTTTTACTCGGGTGCTGCCAGCTTTGTTCTCAACTTTTCCTCTGGCCAAAGGAGCTCACAGGATGCTCGTGTCTAAACCTGTCATGAGTGTAGTAGGGTGCATTATTTCTTAGTTCAGCCAAAAATAAAGATTGTATCATTATTTACTTACATCCATGATGTTCCAATCCAAACCTTAATTGCTTTTTTCCTCTATGCCCATTTTAATTAAAATAAACATGAAGCTTTCAAGCTTGAAAAAAAATAAAGCAAACAAACCATAAATTGTTATAAAAATTGCACATGCTGTATTCCAAGTGTTCTTAAAATATGAGAAATGTAAGTTGAAAATCTTTACATCAAGCCTAGCTGATGAATGATTAATTTGAGTCAGATCAGAGTCAGTCAAATGATTCTGATTCTTTCACATAATCAGATTTATTTATTAAAGGGTTAGTTCACCCAAAAATTCTTGTGCGCAAAAGAAAAAAAAAAGACTTTATTCACGCTGCGTCACGCCGGATCTGTTTCCTACGTTGTTGTGATTTGATCTGAACGGAAACAGCGTATCCGCATGGCGCAGCTGACACAGAACAGCATACGCTGTTTACGTCCAGCTGATACTCTCCAAAATGGCGCTACAGGGTGACGCAGAGGAGACGAATTTTTGAATAAAGTCGTTTTTTTTTTTTCTTTTGCGCTTCGTAAAATTACGGTTGAACCCATGATGTCACATGGATTATTTAACAGATCTCCTTCCTACGTTTCTGGACTTGGGAACATTTCAGTTGCTGAGGAGAAAATGATTATGAATAATAGCTTAAAATATGTTTGTTGCTCACACTCATGTATGAATTCAAAGGACTTGGAATATAGTGCACAAGCCATATGGACCACTTTTATGATGCTTTTATGCTGCTTTTGTTGCCTTAAAGGGGTCCTATTATGCTTTTTCACTTTTTGAATTGTAGTCAGTGTGAAGTGTGTATAATTGGGCATAAAAAAGATCTTCAAAGTTACAAATCTCAAAGTCCACTCCAAAGGGAGATATTTCGTTTTTTTTTAAATCCCTTTTCAAGAACTACAACGAACGGCTCGTTTGGACTACAGCATTTGTTTTCCGGGCTTTGTGATATCACAAAGCGGCCCATTAGAATATCATTAAAATAATTGTTCCATGGCAGCTCTCGTGGCCACGGAGCGACACCTGTGGTTGAATCTGTCCGAGTTACAAGATAAGGACAGATTCTTCCTGCTGGATGCTCCGCTATCGCCTTCTGGCCTCTTCGGAGGCGCAGTAGACACTGTCGTCGAGAGGTTTCAGGAGGCGAAGAAGCAAGCGGCGGCATTCCAGCGCTTCCTCCCTAGCCGGCCCCAGGTATTTGGGACTGCTGAGCAGGAGCAGTCCCAGCCGTCTAGCTCCTCATATCGCCAGACCCAGAAACAGAGCGTCGCGACCCGTACTCCCCCGCAGAAAGAGCGCTCGCGCCCCTTGTACAAGCTGGCGCGCCAGATCCTTCTGTGGGTTCAGGGAATCTCCCTGGGAATCTCAATCAGGGAGCAGACATCCTGTCGAGACAGGGGCTGAGGCACGGGGAGTGGAGACTCCACCCAGAGGTGGTGGAGCTCCTTTGGGGGGAGTTTGGCCAGGCGGAAGTGGACCTATTTGCGTCGCAGGAAACGACACACTGTCCGCTCTGGTTCTCCCTCACACATCCAGCTCCACTTGGGCTGGATGCCATGGTGCAGACGTGGCCGAGGCTTCGTCTGTACGCATTTCCCCCGATCGCTCTGCTCCAGGGAGTTCTGGAGAGGGTACGCCAGGATGGGGTCCGTCTGTTGCTAGTAGCCCCGTTCTGGCCGGCCCGAGTATGGTTCTCGGACTTGGTGTCCCTCCTCGACGGCTCTCCGCTGGAGATTCCGATCAGGAG